AAAACATTTAATGCTTTTCTGTTCTAATGTGTGTGTTTTTTTTTTGCTTGTTAGTTCAATCTATCAGAGGAATTTTTAAAGCTAGTTGTTTTTTTTCTTAAACTTACTTTTATACTGACAGATTGATTGTTGAATGATGACAAAAAAAAAATAGCTTTTTTTTTTTGTCTGGTATTTAGTCTAGCCAAATATCTGGGTTTCTTTTGGATGCCACTTTAACTTGCAGTTATCAATCTAGACTATGAACTCAGCAGGCAGACAACCGACAATCTTTGAGTACATTGAGGTGCTTTGTCTAATTTATTTTGAGCTTACATACCGCTGTTTACTACTGCTTGCAAAACTGTTGTTTCTTTAGCACTGTTAATCTGTTCTCCTCAAAAACTTTTATATTTTTTTGCTAGTTTACTCTTATTCTTTTTTTTTTTTTTTTCTAGTGCTTTTTTGCTCTTTTTTTTTTGTGCTTATACAATTTTTGTTAATAATTTTTAAATTGTTATCATTATTCACTGTGGTAACAACATCAACAATTTAAATAGATAAAAAAACAAAAACAGTGTAAAAGTATTAGGGATTTGAAGCGGCAAATTGACAGGTGTGACTAAGCGCTTTTTTAAATTAATTTTTTTAGAACTTGAAGAACAACATTTCTTTTTTTTTTTTCTTTCTTTCTACTATTTCTACCTCTGTACTTTCGTCGATACTATTGATAAATTGTAAAGATGACGTATACGTTCGTAGAACTTTTACTTTTTTTTTTTTTGTTGATTGCCAATTATTGCTGCAGCAAACAAAAACTTTAAAAAAAAAAAATGTTCTTCTTTTTCTTTTAGCATATAACAACAAATTGAAAGTCGAATTTATTATTATTATTTTTTTTTTAACCAAAATATTTAATCTTATATTACTGAATATTATTGTCTAATAAATTGCGCCATCTGTTCAATAATACTACTCAGATTTATTATGCCTTCTTTCTCCAAATGTTTATTGTACCTGGAAAAAATTTTTATTTTATTTTTCATTTATTTATCCTCTTTTTTTTTTGGCTGTACTATAGCACTGAAAATTTCTAGTGAAGAAAAAATTAAAGAACAAAAAACTAATGACAGTTTAGTGGTGATTTAGTTTTGATATTTGTAGAACTGTTGATCGGGCACATTGATATCTGAGACAATAAATATCTGCCCTTATATAAGTACTCCATAAGTTTAACAATGTTTCTGCAGTCATTTTTGCTTGATTAATGTGATGTTAAGCAAAACTGTCTTATATTTGCAAATAATGCAATTTTTATCTGTTGCTAATCGTTTTTTAAGGTGTTTATCGTAATCCTTCCGAAAAAAAAAATGAAAATAAAAAAATTTTTTAGTACCCCATCAGTACTGCTCAATACGTATATATTTGAGGTTAAATAAACTGATAATATTCTTTATCTGCTGGAATACCGACGACCACTATAAGCGACATAATTTTTTAACGTTATCTTTACCACCATTTGATGTATTTAGCTGAACTTTTAGGATATAACAGGTAGTACTGTAGTGAGAGGAAGTAGAAGAGGAGATTGACGGGGTCGACAAAATATTAATAGTATCAACTAAATTTAGTTCTGATGTATTTTATAAATAGATGGGAGAAAGTTATACTTTTTTCGTTTATTCTATAAATTACTGATTAAATGCTTTTGTAACGTAACAGTCCTTCTTGAAAAGATTGTTCAAACATTTTTTTCAAGATGACGTACTTCCGAGAAGTCTTATTTCTTAAGTCTCTTAGACCAGTGTTAGTCAGTTATTCTCGAAAGAGCTAATTACAATATTTGGCTTGTTGTCTGGGAACTCTTTTCTTCTTATCGCCGTATCACTTCTACCTTTTCTTCTTATATTTGCTGTTAACTCAATTTTTCAAACGTAGTTTTTTATAGTTATAAAGTATTTCTGCGTTTGCTTTACTGCAACATTGTTTTACAGGAAGCATGTCGATGTTTCTTGGAGAAATCAACTTCATCGCTGGAAACCCGAACTTTACAAGACTCAAATATTTGGATAGGCTGTACAAGGCAAAATATGCCATTTATTTTCAATGCATTAAGTGCGTTGAACGATACAGTTATAACAAAACTATGGATTTGGGACGCACATACGGCAACAATTCCATCTGATATGTTTGCTCAGGTTCTTTCTGTTGCTTCTTTACTTTTATATTATCTATCTAGAAAGATCATAAAAAGTTGTTTTCGTTTTTAGGTTCGTCCACGTGTAGTTTCTATTGAACGATCAAGGCTTGCCACTATTCGTGTTGGAGCGTTTGCACCTATTGGTCAACGTTTAAAAACTCTTGAGTTGAGGGACAATAAACTACTGTTCTTGGACCCATTGGTTTTAAAAGATTTGGATCGGCTCGAGGTTCTTGATGTTGGGAAAAACAAATTTACTGAAATAACATCTGGTAGGTGGTAAAAGCTTTGTTTTCATTCTCATTATTGTGTTATCTTGGTCTTGGAGCTTAAAGTCATCTTATCACATAACAGGAATTATTTATTAAATAGTGGGTTGATTAGAAATATATGATTGCATGAAATGGTAATGGTGAATTTTTTTACCACAGCATAATTTTTTTAAGGCCAGTTTGACTCACTGAAAAGTTTGGAAGTGTTGCTAATGAATGGTAACCATCTGAAGAGCATTGACGATGGGTCCTTCCAGGAATTGGTGAATTTGAAGGAGCTTAATCTGGCAAACAATAAACTTACAAACATTACAAAGTTAGTAGTTATTATGTACTTTAGTTAGCTTTTCTAACGAATGGTAATTTCTCGCGCATTTTTTCTTCTGGTCATAAAGTTATTTCGGTTAATTAGTAAAATAAAGAATTTAATCTAGATAAATTTTAGGCGTACGTTCAGCGGTTTGGACAATCTAGAAATCTTACATTTACAGAATAACAATCTTGTTAACATTGACTGGGATGCTTTTTCACATATGAAAAATCTTCGGATTCTAGATTTAGGTAACACCATTGATTGATTGACTGATTTTTCAGTTTTAGATGACGTGTTTTAGTAAGTTGTAAGGTTCAGGTCATAATCGATTATCGAAAGTTGTTTTACGAGCATTGGATAGTTTGGAAAAGCTGTATATTAACAACAACAGTATTCAGTCGCTGTCAAATGTGAGCCTACGTGGACTACGTAATTTGAATGTGCTTTACCTTGACAGGAATTGCATAACGCAAATAATGAGCGGTGATTTACATTCATTAGGCGAAAGCGGAAGGTATGTTATATACTTCTGATTGATGAATTTGATAAATCTTATCTTTTAAAAAGGCTTTTATGATTTTTATGTTAACTTTTTGAAATTAATTCAGAGAAAATTAATGACTTTTAAGATGGATGTGTTTGGTTGTAGACTTTTAGTATTTTTTCTTTCAAAAATAGTAACGTTGCCTTGAAAAGTATTTTGCCTTCTACTGAATGTACGCAGGTGGTAAGCGAAAGTTCTTAATTGATCGTTCTTACAGGCTATCACTGTTAACTCTTAATGGAAATCAAATAAAAACCATTGGTAGTCGAGCATTTGAACCAATTCATCAGATTAAAATTTTATCTCTTTCCAACAACGACATATCTTCTATTGTCGACTACAGAGGTATTGTTTTTATTTAATCCTTCAGTACAAATGGCACTTGGTATTACTGAAGAGGTATAAAAGAGATTAATACACGGATTACTGAGAAGGTTATCATATAAACAGTAGTGACAGAAATTTGAATGCTTTGAAAAAGGTCTCATTTGAATAGTCAAAATTTGGACTGTGTACTTCGTTTTTTGTGCTTACGCTTAGTTCTCTTTTGTTCAGCAAATTTGTCGGTATTTCGTCCGCTGACAAAACTTACAAAATTGGAGTTATCACGCAACAATCTTACCGAGATTGGAGAACACGACCTAAACTTTTTGTCTTCGCTTAAGGAACTTCTGTTAGATGACAATCAGATTGAGAAAGTAAGCTTCATTTTTGATTCTTCATCAGAAGATCGATATTTTACTAGAAATAAATGCTATTAATTTAAAATATTTTTGCTTTTTGCCAAATTTCAATATATATATATATAGAAAACCGATTTCTTTTGTTTAGATCCATGTTCGAGCTTTTTCTGGGCTGCAGCTGCATCGACTGTTTTTGGCTAACAATAAACTAAGTCGTCTTCCAGAAGGTGTGTTTGACAGCATAGACCCAAATATTCTTCATGCAGTTGATGTCTCCGGTAAATTTTTTGGTTATGATTTTTGGCTCGTGTTTTAGCAATATTTACGAACTGTAGAACTGGGTTTTGATCGGCTCTCAGAAGTGCATCAAATATAATGAGTCAAAATGTTATTTCCAGGTAATCCATGGCGTTGCGTTTGTGGCGAAGAATGGTTACCTGAATGGCTTGGCAAAATGGGAAGACGAGTGATTGGTTTGAAAGATATGGGATGTATGGCAACTTCGGGTTGTGGTGAGGTTTCAGCGGAAGATGATGAAAAAGGAAGTGTATGGATTGCGATAGTTGCAAGCGCCTTAGCTGTCGTATCGCTTTTAATACTTATTGCTATCGGATTTCTGTACCTAGACGAAGGTAGGTATAAAGATGGAAATAATTCTTGTATAATAAAACTACTTGCGAATCATAGTCGCAAGTTATTTACTTTTACATTTACCGGATGGAAAATGCTTTTAGGAAAACTTCGCAGAGCGTCTTCTGATTTGGAGTGGCTCATTCCACGTGATTCGCTGAATATATCGTCACAGGATACCGGGAAAGAGTCCTTACTTCGTGCTGACAACAAACCTAAGCCTTTATTGCTTTTAGAAAATCAGCCAAAGCCAACATCGATACTGTCTCAGTCTCCGACCAAAAATGTTCAGCCAGTTAGTGAAAAGAAGCGGGTTCGATTTCAGTAAGTGATAGATAACGTATAAGGTTATGCTGCTGATTTACATATTTATATATGCGATCAAAACTCAACGTATTGCATGGTTTGTTCCAATTACAGTTGTTATCATAGGGTTTCAAATTAGGAATTCATTTTGTTTTTTTTTTTTCTGGTAGTGATCATGAAATGATGATCGGGTGTTTTTCACTGGTATTGACAGATGGTTCAAGATGGATTTGCTAAGCAGAAATTCGCTGTTTAAATCAGTGTGCTAATTGCTGAGTAACAGTAACAGTGCTAGGATTTAGTATCTTGTTTTTGGCAAATTGGAATTTACTTGAAAAAACTACTGATTTTCTGCCGTTATTTTATTATAATTTATTCGCTGGTCAGCAGGTTAAAGTTGTTAGCTGTCACTAAGTCGTGTAAAATATCAGCAAGCCAAACAGATGGTTTGCCTATTTTTTCCTTCCTTTGTAACCGTGTCAAATTTTTGTGATTTTCGGGTGGTGTTGTAGCCTTCTGTTATGGACTTCCATTGTTTCAGTGGAGAAACTCTGAAAGGCAAAAAAAAATTTTTTAGGTACCAGTTATTATAAGGTTATGAAACTGAACCACCATTTAATGTCAAGTGGTTGTCGTTTCAAATTACTTTTTTGAAAATCTAAGTTTTTTTTCGTACTATACTTCTTAATTAGCATTTTTTTTTTCTGTCGTTATTATTATCATCATTATTATTACTATTTATTATTATTGTTATTATTATTGTTGCTGTATTATTATTATTATTATTATTATTATTATTATTATTATTCATTATTATTATTATTATTATTATTATTATTATTATTATATCAATGATATTATAATAACAGTAATACCAATAACTAATACCCTATTATTATTATTATTGTTCCTATTATTATCATTATACTATTATTATTATTACTGTTATTATCATCACCACCATTACCACTGTTGTTACTGTATCTAATACTAGTAATACTTTTTTTATTTTTCATTTCTGCTTTACCAAATATTTGAGCTTTTTTCTTTTGTCTGTTTTTTTTTTTTTTTTATAAATAACAATTTTGTTAATTTGTTGCCGCAGAAGTTACTGCTGGCTCCAGTACATTAGACTCAGGCGAGTGTCCTATAAAAAAGTTTATATGCAGTAAAGCCTAGCTATGCATTGATTTACCCAATTATATACCTGCAATTTGATATTATTATTATTATTATTATTGTTATTGTTATTGTATGAATACTTTTTTTTTTCATTCTTTTCTCATGCTATCTCTGTAAATTTGGTTTACCTTGTTCTAACTAATTGGAACTAGCCCAGTGTGTATTAACAATTTCTTCTTGTATTTGTAATTATTGTGCAGAAATTGTGTTTGTGCGAGATGTTCTTATTTGTTATTCTCGCTAATTGGTTTTTGATATTAATATATCTGCGTGATTTTTTTTTCTTCAACATAATGTGTACATAAATTTTTGAAAGAGTTGGGCAAACAAATTTTGAAACAAGTTTCTATGCAGAAGAAGAGGGTCTGGAATATACTAAGCCATCGTTTCGAGTGGAAGTTTATGCAGAACGATAAGGCTGTAAGCTTTAAATGTTCTTGAGATAGAGCTTAAGATAAATTTAACGGACCTGAAACAGTTAAGATACAAATCACTTTGAAGAGAACAACTAACTGTTTCGTAGGTGGATGGCTTAACTGGACCGTAAGCGATTTCCAAATATTAGTTTTTATAACGAAAACAACTCTTAGCTAAGACTTTTTAATTGTGTTTGTGAATGAGAACTGAGTGTCACTGAAACATAATTATTAAACGAATTAGTCTTTTGCAGCTGTATGTAATCAAAGTCAGCTTTTTTGCAGACGCAGTATAACTGAGTCTCTTTCAAAATGTTTATAAAACTTTCCAACAATTGTGTTTGATCGTTGCAAAAATGTTTTTCAAAATTGTTTACTATATTCAAAATGTCAACTTTAATCTGCAGATTTAGCAAATATCAAGCTGTTAAGGAAAAAAAATATGAATCAACAAATTCCAAAATGCTTTGAAAATTATCTCCAGTTAGTGAAGCAGTCTTTCAACCAAAATCCTTAATGGCGCTACTAGAATATCGCAAAAAAATTTCAAATTTTTCTGATTGGCATACCGGTAACATTTTTTAGGAACCTAATTTCCTCTTGAGCATCTGATTACCAAATGAGCCAATGGTTAGCACTGATAATGCTATAATAAACTTGAGACTTCAGGACATTGGTGCATAATAAACAAAAAATGCTTTTACTTCGTTAAGTAACTGAAACGGTTTTGATGTGGCGTGATTATAATTCCAAATCAAATTTTTTGTCTATCGTTGTTTTTGTACAACAAAATATATCTTATCGACAATGCTCTAAAAATATTCCTGCCACTTAAATACAGAAATCCATAGCCTAAACCACGGAATTTTCAGCATTTATTGGACTTTTAGCGTAGGAAAAATTGCAAAACATTTAGACATTTGCTTTACGGCTCATTTGCTGCTGAAAAACCCGTGTTTTTAAATTGCGCCAACTCTACTGTTCTATTATTAGCAGCTGTTTCCGCAAGAGGAAAGAACTTAAAAGGTTCTCAGAACGGACCAAATTAAGGTATACTGTTGAACTGTTGAGGGTAATGAACGTGTTGCTGGATAATATGAACTTTTTCTGTCATGAATAACTTTTACAATAATTGTTGATTGCTAGTTCTTCAGTAGTGCTGTTCGTAGAGGCCAATTTTACCAGCTTCAGTGTGTTTTCAGAAAGATTGCTCATTCGAAATAGAAGTTTTTGAAGAGCTGAAAACATTTAGATGTTGCAGGAAGTGATTTTGGCAGTGTGACTGTGACTGTTTTGAGTTTTAATAAACAAAAGACAAAAATGAAGAAGTATTCAAGCATTTAGCAGGTTTTCTTTTTTTTTGATATGAAGAACTGCTACAGTTTTTTACTGCTGAACAGTTACATAAAGTTCAAGCCTACTCAAGTATTATGCCCATATAAAGGTTTTCTGTTTATTTCAATATCTTTCGTTTCTGTGTCAAAATAAAAGACATTAAGGGTATGGCGTATAGATCCTCAGAATTTTGACTAACCTTTATTTGAATTTAAATGAAAGACTGCAGATTAAGTGTCAAACTTTGACTGTCAAGGAGCAGTAAAGGAGGATTAGTATACGATGTTTGTTATTGATCAAAAGTCATATAACCTTCAATTTTTGCAGTCATTCAGCGATACGTTGACAGTCCGAATAGGTCTGTCGAAATGTAAAAGTGTTAAGTTAGAGATTAATCCAACTTTGTTTCATAACTGTTTGAAAAATTTTTATGGTTTTTTTTTTTTTTTTAGACTTAATTTTCAAAACAATTCGAAAATTACAACGTAACAATTCCGACAGTATTTGTTACACCGATATGAGACGCGTAGTTTTGTTACTAAGGTCATCTTTGTTTTTTTTTTTCTTTTTTTTTTTTTTTTTTTTTTTT